TAGATGTATATATATATATATATATATATATTAGGGCTTTTCGGAATAATAATTAAAAATTATGTAGGTATTGAGTTTTTTATTAATTAAAATATTAAATATATTTAATTTTAATATAAAATATTCATTTTTATTTAATGCTCCATTAACCAATATTGTAAGATCATTTATAACAAAAGTATTGATAAAGTTTGGAAATTCATTTTAAGAAATAATAAAATAAATATTAAATATCTCGTAAAATACTATTATTATTATTATTATTTGTTAATGTATTCTTTAAAATAAATAAAAGAAAAGTAATAAAATGGAGGGAATTGTGATGTTCAAAACATCCTATGGTCTTGTAGATCAAATACATGCTAATGTCTCCAATTTAGTTGTCTCCAAATTTTATGGCAACCTCCTCCTCTAATTAATAATCAATACTATTAATAATAAAAAAATTATTTCCTTTGGTGGACATAAACTTTGAATAAATTTACTCTAATAATTATTTTCAAATTACTTTTTCTTTTATCATTATTTATTTATTTTTCAATTTCAACGACATTCATTCTTTTAATTTTTTATCTTTTAAGTAAGTATTTATTGTTTTTTTTTTTTTAAATAAATAGAGAAACACAAATGTCTTTTTTCCCAATAAAGCAAAATAGGAATAGGAAGAGAAAAATAATTAAAAGAGAAAAAGAATAATGCACATATGTAAATGTTTTACTCCAAAATAATTTATAACTTTATGGTTAAGGTACGTATGTGCATGGTGTGTATAAATAGGAGGGGTGCTACCAACCTACTTATTAATCTTAAGTTATTAAGTTATTGAAGAAAAAAAAAACTAAAAACTAGTTTTCGTCGATGAAAGAATTAACAACAAAAAGTTTGGTCCAATTTCATCCAGGTAAGTTCAGGAATAAATAATAATAAAATTTAGTAACACACACGATGTAATACACATTTTTTTAACACATTCTTCATTATTAATAATTAATATATTTTACCAACACATTTAATTAAGAGTATTTTAACTTAAAAATAATTAATATATAAGACAATATAAATTAAATTATATATAAATAAATAAGTAATTATTCTAAGTTGTCTTATAAATAGGAATGGAGGTGGTAATTAATAGTATGAATTGAATTATAAAAGTGCATTAAAAAGTATATTTCTAACACATAAATAACACATATATTAAGGGAGTATCTAGTACAAAGAAAGTTTTTACTTTTTAGAAAATCTTATATTAAGAATATTAGTTTCTCGCGTTTGGTTTGTTATTTAAAAATAACATTCTTAAGAAATATTATTTTTTTAATGATTTTTACATAAGTTTTTTATATAATTATTCTCATGAAGAGATGAAAAGCTATATTTTTTTAGATAAAAATAAAGTTTTAACATAGTAGAAATGTCGTGTTACTTTTTATTTGCTTATTAAATATAATAAAAATTTTTAATTTTCAAATAACATTTATAAACATTTTTTAAAATATTTATAATATTAAACAAATTTTCATGAATCATGATTTTCATAATTTATGACTCCCATGAAGTGATTTCTAGACAGGAAAAAAATTGTTGTGTATTAGTTGTCTCTAAATGATGTAAAAGTCTTTTATATTATCATTTCATTACAAATTGTTATATACTATAAATTTGTTATCTTTTATATTACCTATGTTCCTATATATGAAATTCAAATACTTAGTTCATTAAGATAAAAAAAAAAAAAAGTAGTTAATATAGTTAAAAAGAATAAATTTATCCTTTTTTTATATTTTCTTTCAGAACTATCTTATACTATTTTCTCTCAAAATTAATACTCCCTTTGTTCTTTATTATAAGAAGAAAAAAAATTATATTATTTGTTCTTAAATATAAAACAAAGTTCAATTACTTTTGTATCATTTAATGATGATCTCAAAAATACTATTTTTTAATACATGACTTTTCAATTGTACTATCTTTTTAACATTTATAACTAGGATAATTTAGGAAGAATATTATGAAATTAATAAAATATAATGCAAATAAATTAATATGTGTGAAATTAATTTTTTTTTTGCTTATTCTTCTTTCTTTTAGTCAATCAGAGTATATGGACTATACTATTTTTCTCCTTTAACTAATTATAGTGTACGTTTTTTAAATAGTCTATAATTAATGTATTTTATTAAATTAAAATAATATATTTTAATTAAAGATATTTTAGTCTAAAAATAATTAATATATAATATAATACAAATTGGATCTTATATGAAGGAATAAATAATTATTTTTTGGATATTATAAATAGAAAGATAAGTAGTAATACTTATTTTAAACATAAAAAAATAATTTTTAATTAATTAATGATATAAAAATATTTACACTCACAATATAATGCATGTTATTAAACATTAAATTGATCTTAATTTCTTAAGAGATTCAAAGTTAATTCGTTGTTATGAAATATGAATTCCTGATATTGAGTTCGATGAATAAGTAAATTTTTTTTTCATCACAATTTAGACCGGCAAATAAATTCCACTCTGAAAAAATTGTTTTCAAGTCTATATAACACAAGTTCACTAATATACTCTTGAAATAGGACAAAGTCATTGTATATAAGACAAATTTATTATTTTATTGTTACATTTAGCAAGCTACTCAAAGTTAAGTGATTTATATTTGTGCTCTTTAATTAATGAGAGAATTTGGTTTTTTACTTTGAGTATTAAGTTGCCCATCCGGTGAAAAGAAAATAAACATCTTTATCAAACTAAAACAAGAATTTTATAAACCGTAACCATGAGGTCCACATTAAAAAAACATAAAATAAGAATAGTGCTCATTAATTTTACAAGTTTCAACACAAAAAGAAGAGCAGAAAAAAGTTTAGTGACCAAAAAGAATAAAAAAATTTCCTTAACCAAACTAGGTTACATTGACATGGTAGTCAAAAAATGAAAGTTAACATTGGGAATTAGTTTTAAAACATAGTTATAAGAGGACAACAATGTGAGCCATAGTTTCTATTTATGTTGCTGAATTTTATAAACTTATCTGTTATGTCGCTATCTTATTCAATTCATATTACAAACATACTCTATGTGTAACATGCTATAAAATACACCAAAATAGTATGGCATTGTTTGTTGTGAAATCTTTTACTCAATGAGCAAAATAAAGAGAGAGAAAAAAAAGTTATGCATGACAAGGTTAAATATTTAATTTTAAATTATCACATATGATAAATTGATTGACTTTTATAATAAATATTAAAAGATCATATTAATTATAACTTTTAATTAATTAACAATGTAAAAATATTTTATCCAGACGATGCATATTCGTTAAACTCCAAAATAAATGATTTCTTTGAACTTCATACATTTTCATATGAAAATTATACCCACGTGAAGTTATCTGACTTGGGATTTTTAGTTTAATCGTTTTCGAATTTTAACTAAGATAATAAATAAATAGATTTTGGGTTCAAATATAAATCATGGCCTAATAAAACGAAACAAGTAGGTTATATGATTACATGTAAAAATAATAATTAGTAAACAAATGCTTGCGTACATACTAAACAAAATTAAACTTTTAAGGGAGAAAGTTATTTATTAGTCATGTTGCACTTTATTTTTAAATGGTTTAAATATGTTTTTAGTCCTTCAAATTGAAGATAAATTTATTTTTGGTCTCTCAAATTTAAAAATATTATTTTTAATCCCTGTAATTTTTAAAAATTTTGTTTTAATCCTTTAGGTCACCAATAACATATTTAAAAGTGACTAATTAAGATAATTATGAAATATCAATCAAATTTAATATGATATTTTCACTAATAGAAATATCAATAGGTAGATTTTATGCAATAATGTTTGATAAATTTCTTAACAAAATTTGAATATAAAGACTAAAATAAGATTTTTTAAAATTACAGGGATTAAAAATAATAATTTTAAATTTAAGGGACCAAAAACAAATTTATCATAAATTTGAGGGAGTAAAAACATATTTAACCCTTTTTAAATTTATATATAAATATCATGTTTATATAAAATTTTCTTTCTCTGGTAAATTTCAACGGATTGATTTAAAATGAGAAACACTAGTTACTTATTTCAGGAATCATAACATATAATATGTGTTTAAAATTTATAATTAAATTCACTGAAAATAATATTTACTTATAACTTATGATATTCCTCCCCTGAACTGAGCACCATGTTGCTAGCTGATTCTTTGGGAGTTATGTTCCCAGGATGTAAATTTTGCTTTCTTCTCCTTTGCTTTTGTTTCCTCGAATTGAATTTTTTTATATATATAAATTTCCTATTGATATTTTTTTTAAAATTTATATGGTATCTTTATTTTAAGTTGTATTTTTATATATAAAACTAGAAATTATAATTTCTATGCATGCATATAAAATGAATTTTGGTCCTGTCGTTAACATTAAAGACAACTTTTTTGTAACGAAAAACTGCTAAAATCTTCTCTAAGAATGAAAACTGCTGCTAAAAATTGTATTAAAACTAAAACATACAAATTTTTAATATAGAAACTGAAAATTGAAATAAAAAAAATTAAAGAACCAAATAACATATAAAATTCAAATAATTATTTTTTGACTGAAAAATTCAAATAGTTATCCAAGCTTTGGAGATTGATCTATGCAATATTCACATTTCGTGTTTTAAAAATATTTATTAGAAATCATAAATGTATTTTATTTATGTATTTTTTTTTTAAGATTAAGATTAGATATTAAGATGGCGTGCAGTCTTCTTTTTCTCTCTTTGCTCTCTTCATTTTCCATTCGTAGACGGCAAGAACCCTAACTGCTACTGCTCCCTTCTCGCTCTGCTCAAACACTGGCTTACCCTTTTTTTATTTCTTCAAATCTCCACATGGGTTAGTATCAAAATCCTTTTTTTTTCTTCTTCTTCATTTTCTCGTTTCCATTTTGCTCTTAGATTTTGTTGATCTGTTTGTTTTTTTGCCCAAAGATCTGATTTTGTTTCCCACTTTTGTTATGGTAAAATGGATCTTAGATCAAAACCCGGAAGCTGAAAACTTTGGGACCTGAGGTTTTGCATGTCTACATTTATGGGATTTGTGTAATTTACCCCCTTTTATGGTTTGACTTTATTTGAGCTGAAACAAAGTTGAGTTTTTAGGTTAGTCAATTGCATTCTGTTTCTTGTGGTTGTTTATTTTTCTATTTTCCATATTAATTTTGTGTTTTGCATTGTGTTGGTTTGTTAGGAGATTGCAATGGACTTGGATAATTTGTGAGGATATTTAACACACTATATTCACTACATTGTGTTCCTGCAATTATTTTTATCATTTGGTGTTGTGATGGATGGTGATAATGGCCTTAATATTCGTAATTGGGGTTACTATGAACCTGCTATTAAGAGCCATCTGGGGCTGCAGCTGATGTCGTCCATGCCAGAAAAACCTTTAATTGGAGGGCGCAATGCTGCGGTTTTATCTGGCACTAATGGGGCATTTCACCATAGGGACATTGGTATGCACCAAGCTACATACCCTACAGAATACATGAGGGATGCATGGATTAGCAGTCAGAGAGACAAGTATATGAATATGATACCTACCAATCATAACTATGGTGGTATTCCGGAGGCATCTTCAGCACATCAAATTCAAATGATTCAAGCACCAGAAATGCCGAAGGAAGAAAAGCCAGTTGAAGAAGCACCAGTTGTTGAGAAGCCAAACGGAACTCGTAAGAAAAGACAGGGTCCCAAGGTTCCCAAATCTCCCAAGGCTAAGAAGCCCAAGAGGGGGCCTCGCACGCCAAAGGATGAGAATACTCCCTCAGTTCAACGTGCAAGGGTTCCGAAGAAAACTACTGAAATTGTAATAAATGGGATTGATATGGATATTTCTAGTATTCCGATTCCTGTTTGTTCATGTACTGGAGCACCTCAACAGTGTTATAGATGGGGCTCTGGTGGTTGGCAGTCTGCATGTTGCACAACCGGCATGTCGATATATCCATTACCTATGAGTACCAAGCGCCGGGGTGCTAGGATAGCTGGGAGGAAAATGAGTATAGGAGCATTTAAAAAAGTTTTAGAGAAACTTGCAGCCGAGGGTTATAACTTTTCTAATCCAATTGACTTGAGGACTTATTGGGCAAAACATGGCACCAACAAGTTTGTCACTATCAGGTAGATCTACTCTATGGTATGGTCACCTGGCCTGTTATGTCTTTTAGCCTTTTTGTCATGTATATACATGTGTATTTGGCCAGAGATGGAGACTTCTTAGCTGGTTTGTAGTTCAAGAATTATCAGTCATTACATTAGACATCTTGTTTTCTCTTCTAACACTTCTACGTTGGTATCTTCACTTTGTTGGATTTAGTACATGGGAATTCATCTTTTGGTTGGTTGGTTGGTTCTGATGGGGAGTTAGCTGATTAGATCTTGTTTTATTAATATTTAGCTGGAGAATTTTATCTGTTCATAATCCTACTGGTGATCGAAAGTTACATCCAACTCATTTTAACTTCCAACTAAATATTTTTCTTCAATTTTCTGGCACATTACTTGATTATTTTCCGTGTAAAACCATAATTAAAACATGCCTATTGTTTATGAACTGTGATTGCTGGGTTGAACTGGGAAACACTTCACAATGTATTAGATTGTAATGTGTTTCTAGATTGTCCAATTGCATGGATGCTTCATCTTGTTTAAGATAGTGGTGAAAACAGTATTTCGTCTTTTACCCAGAATATTTTCCTTTTTTAATGCATTTCTTTCAGAAAATGATTAAAAGTACTTGTGTCCAAGTATGATTAGTTTCAACATTTGTTATAAGGACATTGGGAGAACCATACCACAAACATTAGCTATTGTAATTGGAGAGCCCAAGGCCTTAATTTCCATACAAGAATTTCATATTTCCAATGTGAGTCAAATCCTCGAACCTTGCAATTGTATCCAAGCAATTTGATTACCAAATCATTTAAATTCCTGAAAGATGCAGTTCTGTTTTTAGCGAAATAGGTTTTGTTGAACACTGTAGGTAAATAAACTACTACTTGTTACGAGACTTTTTATTGATGTAAAATTTGATGTTTGAGTTACGTGGTCTTACATTTGGTTATTAGTAAACCAGAAAAATGAGAAATTGCAGGTTGTCATGCCCAAATAGAAGGGTCAGAAAGAAAATAGTAAGGCAAGAAAGGGTTAAAGGGGAATGAAAAGTTGCAGCATTAGCATATATAGTAGATTGGTGAGGAATGTGACTCTTTTTATGTTGACTGTTACATTGGTAACTAATACATTGTTGTGCATATTTCCTGGCATTAGCAGTGTTGGCATGTTCCGCATCACTACTAGATAGTATGTTATGTCATTTTTCGTCTTTGACCTCACAAGCAAAGATGTGAGATTAACCCGTAAGCTGGGGATGGTGGTAAGGTAGGTACCTTCTTTGGAGTGGTGATTCCCGGGTTCAAACTCCTCTAATGCAGGTAAAGTTTGCCGGGATTATAATCCACGTCGATTGTGTCTGTGACAAACCTACTGTTGGGTGATGATAGGCTTATATGCTAATGTTATAGTGTTATGTAAGAAGATATGCATTTTTTGACAAGTAGCTTGTTAACTTGAACATCTTGTTTGCAGTATATTTACCATTTTTATTTTTATTTTTATAATTTTGAAGACATGATAAGGTGTACTTCACTTGATTTTAATTTTATTATCTGAAATGCAAACTGAAGATCTAGTTTTTCATTTTTTTTAAGGGAAATAATTATTCTATTTGTGCAGAACCATTCTTTCTTTAGTTGCTTGCTAGCATAAAATAAGTCTTTTGCATTTTGCATCCCTTTCTGAATATTATTTGACAAAGGGGCGGGCTGATCGCCGTCTTTGCTAGTGAGAAGCCACTAATTTTGTATAACCTTGAGGTTAAGTTTAGATTAAGAGTAAACTACACTAACTCTCCTTCAAGATTCGCGAATTGCACAAATACTTTCTGTTTTTTTTATTCTTACAATAACTTCTCTTAGTTGTTTAAAAAATATTAATAGTAACACCCCTTATATATTATTTTGACTCCTATTTGAAAAGTATTATATTGTAACATCCTATAAGGCAGGTTACTGTAAACCTAAAACAAACAGGTGTTGGTGCAATTTCATAGAGCTTCAGGGTTTCCCCTAGATTAATATAAAGGAATGGAATTAAGTAGATAGAATGAAATGATATTTGGTTTTATTTTTTGGATTGTTTGAAATCAAATTTGACCGATGTAGGAGGTATAAGAAGGAATCATTTTTATTCTATGGCATCTTTAAAATATTCAAACAGTGGAATAATAACTTTGTTTAATTCATGTTTTGGATTGTTTAAGTTTAAGCCATTGTTCCCGATTTTGATCAATTTTTCTGAAATGAAGGGTGAGTTAAAGACTGCTTCCCGATGCTAAATAAGTTTAGGACTGTGGTTTCTGCACCAAAAATGTTTTAATTAATTTTGCACTTGGTTTAAGGGAAAAAAAGGGTGGTAGTGTAAAGATATATATATATATATATATATATATAAGGTTCAAACGACAGCGATGTAATTTTTATTAAATATTATACCGCTTAATAATTTTATATTAAATGTGAATTTTATAAATTCAATCATTGAATTATAATTTTATATCACTTATATATATATATATATATTGTTTGTTTTATTATCTAAAAAGAGAAAGAGGATGAAAACGGTGTGAAAAATGACAAGAAGTGACAGCTTGATTGATATTATTATTGGTGGTCTTTATGGTATGAAAAAGACCCATGATTTGTAGCAACTTTCAAAAAACTGCAGTCTCCATTAATTTATAATATAATTATATGCTTTTTTCCAGTCTTTATTTATTTATTTATTTTTATTATTTTTCTATAAAGCCCTTATCGGATCTTGCTACAAAATACTTCATTTTATATGAAAATAAACTAATTTAAATCGTGTCATTTTTTCTTCTTTCTAAAAGCATGAGATATTTAAGCGCGCGCACATATATATATATATGATTGGTTCAACATTTAATTATTAAAAAAGTTTAATATGATCTCTTAATATTTAAAAATAAAGTAATGATGATTTTTTATCGTCCAATTTAGACTCATTCTTCTTATACATGGTGACACAAGTATTCTTTTATTGCGTCAATTGTACGTGAGATAAACATAGTTTAATTGGATGAAAAATGTAACATAGCATTGTTTTTAAAAAAATAAGTGGTCAACTTGAACCTTTTAATATTAAAGGTATCGAATCGAACTAATTAAGTTTATTATTCTCTTTATTTCATTCTAAAACACATGAAATCTAGGTGACACATTTGGGTAACTCGCTGAAAATGTGGCAGTCATTGAAAGTGGAATCTATTTATGCCATAATGTGAATGATGAAAATCCTTCTTGCTGCACTTTATTACTTTAATAGGCGACGGTATTGTCTATGTCATGAGACTAGTAATGAATAATGGTAACGGTAGAATGTAGATGATATAGCACGAGATTTTAACATGATTCAATGTTAAAGTCATAGAACAGTGACAAGTTGACATGTGTAATCTTGCCATGGCATTGTTTCATAATTGATGGTAGTCTCCATCAGTTTTTGCAATCATTCTCGTTGAGAAAACACTATCAATCTAATAAAATTTTAACAATGCTACGCATGTTTGGTTAACTTTAATGTTATTTAATAAAAATCTAAAATCATGTATAGCCTCTAATAGTAGTATCTTCGTATTACTTTGGAGTCTCACTATTCTTATACTATTTTGCCATTTCTTAGGCAACATTACCTTTGCTTGACTTATGTTTCATAAAAGTAATTGAGAAGTTACACATGAGCCCAAAAATATTTAATAATTGAAAGTTATTTGAAAGTTGTTAAGCTAAGTTATTGGATTATAAGTGTTTGATAGAATTATCTATAACAAAAATAGACATATTTATATGTTATTCTTGTATAAATTTTACGAAATATTTCAAGGATAAAATACATTAGAGCATACTATTATGTAGTTAGAAGTTAAAACCTACATGAAATTAAATACAGTTATAAGTTAGTATTGAATAATACTATTTAATAAACATTATTAATATGATCAAACAAGTTTTTCAACTAATCAAAATAATATTCAATATTTTCTTAGCTCTTATATAAGTACAATTTCTACAAATACAATCAATAAAATATTTATATGTAGTTTTTTTTATTCAATCATTAAATTATGACATCATATAACCTTATTTGTTTATGTTAAATTTTGTTAAAATTGAATAATAATTTAAAGATAATCAAACCGTTTACATTTTAATATATTTTAAATTGTATATATTACATTAATTTTGATCTATATGAATAAGGTATTTAATCAACTTAGATTAATATAAAAAAGTTGTATATGTAATCTAAGGATAAGGAACTATTAAATTAATAATAAGTTTTAAAAATAATTATTTAATTAAAAACTTTTGAATGAAATAATAATTATTAAAAATAAATTAATCTAATTTCCGTTATCTCACCGTCATATATGAAATGGTGATTTTTTATATATGATATGATATGGATTTGTATACTTGTATAAGGATAAGCTTGGGCGGTGGCTGGCAAAGGAACAAACGTCACCATTCACAAGTAATTAACTAACATTACCATCATCATAAATTCTTCATGTTCTCCTCTTTCTCATCTTCAAGTTTTCATAACCCTTATATTTGAACTTAACATTAATCATTATCTTATCAAATTGTTCACAAGAAATGATCTGGTTATTTCTTTTAATAAATTTGGTTCGTGCATGGTTATAGATAAAGAACACTCTTGCATTTTCTCATTCATAAAACTTAAATATTTATAATTTTTTTCCTTCTCACACATATTTTATTTTAAAGGCAATTCTCTTTGAGATGCAATCAGATATTAAATTTCACTTCTCTTAATAGAAATTTCAGTCTTAAATTGCAATATTATCATCATAAGAAAATTATCTTATAATGACACGTATTCTATAATGACATAAAAATGGTCTCTAAAAATTACTTTTACTTATACAATAAATATAATATATATTGGTATATTATTAAAAAGTATAGGTATAGACTATAATAACACACAAAATATATTAAAATTATATGTTAAATAGATATATATTTACATATATTATGTTTATAGTGACACATTTTATATGTCATTCTATATAACATTTCTTATAGTATATGATCAATACTATCTCCTTCATCTATATTCAACTACTTTTAGTATATTTCCTACTCTAGGATCATTATATGTGCAAATTAAATATAAAAAACAAAATAACAGAAAGCCGAAGACTAGAATTAAATAATTAATACAGGTCACAAA